TTATTCACTATAGTACACCGTATTAGATTCATTGCAATAAAACAAAACTTCTGCTAGAAAGTCTTAAGAATTGGGGAATGCGAATAAAAAAACAATAAATTGTAATCTTGCTAAAACGTCAGCTACACGATTCAATAAAAACAAGTATGCACTTATAAGCAAATCAACATCGATGACCTTGAAAACTCTGGAAGAAAATGATCTTGAAAGAAAATCACTTTCTTCGTCGTATTCGTCCCTTGATTCCAATAAATTCCAATATAATGTAACACATTGTAACACATTTTTTGTAACCTTGCTATTGGAGGAGATATAACGTTTAGATGGACCACCTTGTATAACAAACGAAAATCTACAAGAAGTAATTTTAGCGTGTACCCAGTTAAAGATATTGTAAACAACATTGCCTAGCATTTTCTTTACAAGGTTTTTTACACTTCTTTTAACATATCATTCAGTAAACTAATCCTTTCAAGCTCTAAAACAGAACTCAAATATTTTGTTGTAATTTTAAAAGACTGTTTTGAAAACTGTGTTCGAATATTAATGTCGATCGCTTTATTAATTAATCAACCAAACTTCTTCGACACCCAAAAAGTCTGTTAAATGTTGTTTGCAATTTTTCTCTATACAAAATCTGTAATACAATTGTTACCAATTTTGGTTTCCCTACCTTTCCCCGCGCCCATGGGCAACCACCCCCTCTTCTGGATCGGCAAGAGTGTGCTTCCGGTTGCGTGCGGTACATCCAATCGATGTTGCTAGCCTGCAACATCGAGGAAAACGCTGGGACGTCTGCCACTTCCGGTTCTTCGATGCCAGCTTCTAATAACAGTATCTGAAAATTTACATGAAACGTTACAAATCTCGCCCGCCGAAGAAACTCTAGTTGAAAATGCACCGACAAAAGAATTTTATCTTCTATTAGTCTCGTCTTTTTAAATAATTCATAATCATTCAAATTGTACCATGAACATTATTCAAATTATTCAAATCAGAAAGAAAATTCAGGTGACAATTTTCGCTTGAGATGCTCTATAATTATATAGGATGATTCCTGACGCGATTTGAAGTAATTTTTTCCTTTGCGAAAATGTTGCAAACGGCTTCGTTAACGAGATATTAACGAAAAACACTCGCGGCCAATGACGTGTTGCGCACGCTATCGTGCACATGCTGTACACGTCCTCTGATTGGTCCGTGTTTTTCGTTTATAACTCGTTAATGAAGCAGCGGAGAACATTTTCGCAAATGAACAAGTTGTTTCAAATTACCTCAGGGAAAATGTCATTAATAATTTGCGTTTATATTTATTGTAGCAATGTGTTAATGTTATTAAATGTAAATTGAATATACATACACACATACACTAAGTACGACGAACAAAAATATGTGAAAATTTTTGTATATTCCTATCATCAGAAGTTAGTATAGGTACTGACATCTCAATAATTATACCTAAAATAAGAACTGTATGTGGTGCTAACGTACAGTATGATATTCGTATAATTTTTAAATTAACAAATTTCACCATCATGTTCGTATACTGACTTCACACAAAATTTAGACATTTTATTCAGTTGTTTATAACATATCGAAAATATTTAGCATTTAATTTGAGTAAATATTTAATGTGTAATAAACAATTTCGGTCGAAGTTAATTAAGTAACTTCAACTTATTTACATGGTATTGCTACATGGTATTAAAATTGAGTAGACTTCGTCCTCGTATATGAACATTTTTATACTAAGTGCAATAAATAAAATTAAATTAGTTTAACTACAAATTCAGATTAATAAATTAAACCAACATTAAGTTTTAGGTGTTGAATAGAGTTCGCTACTATGTCGGATTTCGCGTAAGTTAAAAGTGAACGTCAAGATATACTGGAACTTGGAAAGTGAGTTACCGTGCGGTAGGAATGCGTTCTTGCGGCAAGTGCAAGCAGAATTAGTCTCACTTTTATTAGCGTAAAAGTGAATTGTGAAGAAATGACTAATATACTTTAGGTTGCAATATCTTAAACAACTGTTTTCTCCTGCAAAAGGGCGGAAGAAATTGTTGTTGGAAGAGACTGATTAGCAGTCGGATATTAATAATAAACATTAACAGAAAAAATTGGGTTCATAAAGTAAAGTAAAATATACTATAATATAATATAGTATAGTATGATGTGTGCGTGTGCGTGTGTGTGCGGGCGCGCGCGCGTGAGAGAGAGAGAGAGAGAGAGTGCGAGAGATGACAAAATATAATATAATAAAGTAGTTTATTTTTGTATAAATATAAGGATGCACTATGAAATGAAATTTTTGTTTAAAACTGAACTATATAAGTACTTCTTTCTAAGAAGATCCATTTTTTTAATAAAAATTGAAATTTTGTTATTTCTTCTATTTAAAATTTTATGAATGATGTATTTTTAGAAATTCTTATATATATTTTTGGAACTCATGCGGTTTGAGAAACAATGTTACGAAATTGCTGAGTCTCTTACGTGGAATAAAAGGACATAATCAATATTTTGGATAAATCAAAGATGGCGACAATGTGGACAATACCATGGAGTTTCCTACTATTCGTTATTCTTCATTAATTTTTAAAAAAATAACAGTTTTAAACAGCAAGAATTACACGTTAAATTGATTATTCTATCTCATAATCTAATTTGTAATTAACAGTAATAACAAGTACTATAAATAAATTAAATTATAAATTGAACCAAATAAAAAATAACTAAAACAAACAAATTATAAATTAGATCATTTATTCGTATATAATAAGGTGTTATACATAATTAACAAATTCTAATTTATAAACAATTATAGTAAGTATATTTTATACACTAACTTAATAGCTGATTATTATGGCGTAACTGAGAATCAGAAAACAAAAAAAATCTCAACGACTATCAAATATTCATAAAAATTCGAAAAAGTATGCGAAAAATAATAAATAAATGAATAAATAAAACAGTAAATAAAAACGATGATTCAATCTAACG